GCGCACGGTGTACAAGTACGTTCTTTTCAAAGCACGCCCTCTCGTTTCATCAACGAGAACCCAAATAAAAATATTTACACGCTCTTGCGCCAATCCCATTTAATGAAAATGCTCCCATATATATGGACTCGAGGGGGAATTAATCGCGGAATCTACGTCGACGATCAAAGAAATGTCTAGGCTCCTAATTTAAATATCTATATTTATGTCAATCTGTGCCAATTTGACCAACTAATCCCAGTCTAGGAGATTAGTTTAGGTTAGGTTTGCCGCGTTTAATCCTTTAGCGCACACAATTGAATCGTCGATTTTTTTTACAGCTTGAATCGACTCTGTTTTCACAACTATCTCTTTCCTTTCGAAAAGAAAAACATCGCGCTTTTCCCATCCACATTATATAGATAGCAGAAAAATATATCGTGTTCTCAGTTGTTAATAATCAATCAAAAGCGAACAGTAAAAATATCTTGTTGTACGTTAATGTCAATAAATCAATATTATATTATAAATTAATATAATACTTATTAATATAAGACCGTCTGCTTTTGATTGATTATTATTAATATACATTAATATTATAAATCAATATTAAAAACATCTTGTCTAATAAATCAGTTGAATCTTGTGATATATTTATTTAAAGGAGCAAACCTCCATAATTTTGTAGCGACATCTATTGCTATTCAACTGTCTAATCAAAAGTTACCAAAGAGTTTTATAACAAATTGCCAAGGATATGTACAACAGTTGCCACAGTCGTAAACGTTAAAATAAAGTACGAAATTTCATTTTGTAGTACGGTGACTTTATCATTTACCTACCATTTCTTCACACTACAGGCCATCTGTTACAATTAAATGCAACCAAAGATATAACTACAGGTTGACGACTTTAATAATGACTACACCACAATATATCTAATAATCACAGACAAAGTATATGAATAGACATTGCATCGAATGTAGTTTTTCAGCCAATAATAAGGTCCTCAGGACCTTACCATTTTCGTGTCACAGCCTGTTGTACCGATTTCACGACCACAGCACTACTAGTAGTGAAAATTAAAATTAAAAAAGTATGAACAGTGTTGCCAGTTCTCGAGAATTATTGAATTGAATGATACTTCATCAATGAAGGAATATAAACAGCGACTAATAGAAATTGGGATGAAATTGTAAAATAGAAGAATTTTCTATCTCTTGATCTCCAAAAATATAATTTATATCATATAATGTGCTCGTCTATATCAAATTTGTAAAAACATTCGACATTGGCCGATTTTGCGAGACATATAAGAATATATTTCGTAGATATGTTTATATTTTTCATTAAATCTTCGTGAATTATTAAAGAACTATATTAAATAAATACGAAAGTTTTATTATTGTCATAATATTGATAGGCGAAGTAGTTTATAAAAAAATCTCGAATAATGTTTTGATCAATGAGCGTAATTTTTAACTAATGGATTACAGAATTTATTATTTGTCATAACCAATGCATAGTTGTAATAAAATTGTTAAAAATTTAACATAAACTTGAATGTGATACAAGGAATGTGTAACTGAGGAAACATAATAATTTTAATATTTTAATATTTTAATATTAAAATTATTATATATAATGAAATTTTAAAATTTTAACTAAATTATATATTGAAAAGAAGTTGTGAGAAATCCGTAAAATATGGATAGAGTTCATTCCGACATACAGTAGAATGATTTCGGTTACTTCGTCTGTGGTTATTAGCTTCATATTTCGCTATTGAAAGTTTGACAACACTGTAATGGATTTCAATAGCGAAAATCATGTTGTTGGTTCATTCATTAGTTCCTCAACTCACCGCTATTTAAACGCAGAGTGCGCTAAAAAAACCAGTGTGTCGGTATTTCAGGTTCACGGGCCACGAAACCCCGTAAGATGCAATGTCTATTCATGTACCTCGTCTGTGTAATAATCTAAAGTGTGTGGTAAACGTCGAAACATAATTCTTGCATTCGTAATGTAATTTGTGATTAATTTATTACCACACTTTTTCACTTTAAGAATATCGAATGAAACGACTGTAAAATAATCACGTCTAAATGATGCACGACTGAGGACTATTGAACTGTTGAATAACTGATCCAATATTTTTTTGTTGCACATTTGCCTATAGGCAAACTTTTCGTTCCAGTTTTTGTCGTGCTTAAACTGGCCATTATTTGCCATCGAGTCTACGAAAATCGAGTCGTTCGGCAAATCTCGTGAGACTGCAATTAACACGACAGACATAAAGCAGCCTCTAACCAGCCTCGGTTAGATCTCAAATGGCCTAACAGTCTCAATTATCTCGACGCTCGATTCCTCTCGCACCATCCTCGCGAGATTAAAGCGAAACCGCAAAAGCTTTCCTTTGCTCTTTGCATCCCCTGGTTTCGTAGCAGATCGATCGGGTTGTCAAACGAAAAGCTGCAATTCCGACACTACGGAGACAGA